TGGAGGCTGAGGGGACACCTTATCACTCTCCACAACTACCTGAAAGGAGGTTGCAGAGAGGCAGGGGTCAGTCTCTTCTCCCAAGTAACAAGTGATAGGACAGGAGGAAACAGCCTTAAGTTGCACCAGGGAAGGCTTAGGATGGATATTAGGAATAAGGTTTTCACCAAAAGGGTTGTCAAAGACTGGACCAGCCTGCCCAGGGAAGTGGTTGAGGCACCATCCCTGAAGGTATTTAAAAGATGGGTTGACATAGTGCTTAGTGACATGGGTTAGTGATGTTTGTCTTATCAGAGTTAGGTTGATGGTTGTACTAGATGATCTTAAAGGTCCCCTCCAACCTAAACAATTCTATGATTCTATGATTCACCCCAGAAGGTGCTTCTGCAGAGTGCTGGCTGAGCAAACCTAGGGTGTCCCAGGCTCACAGAGTCACTGTTAACCACAGGGTTTACTCCTAAAGGACTGTCTCTTTCTGGTGGCACCCATGTCCCCAGAGACAATCATGTGTGTGCCGTGCATGGAGCCTATTTCAAACTTGATCCAGAACAACTTCCATTTCACCTCTTCAGACTTATACATATTCTTAATATAAGCACCGTAACTTGCACCACTCAATCATTTGATATCATTTCTTGTGACAACCTCTTATCTGACTCAAAATTTGAGCCTTTTTTATTGAGCTGCCCCTCATCCTGCTCAGTGTTCTCACCATGTCATCAGCTCTTTACTAGCTGGGTTTATGTGTGTCTGGGATACTCTGAATAAAAGAAAACCTGAATAATGTTGGTATTGCCATTTCCACCTTGCTATTCCTACCTTAACAGGGCATCCGCACGCTCCTGGGTACCAGCAGGCATATTAACTTGGGTACCAGCTGCAAGAGCACGAGAGCCAGCTGTGGGGCAGCTTATCTGCAATGTCCAAGCCCATGAACCTTCTCAGAGCCAGCTCATCTCGGAAAACAACCTCTTAACAGCAGTTTTCTTCCTGATACTTGTTTGGGAGAACTAGCCCATGTTGAAGAAAACATTAACAACAAACAACAAAGTGTCACAGGAAACAGCAGCAAGAGATAATTTTTGTTGTGGTGCCAAAGTGGAATAAATTAAATTGAGTGCAGTATCACTGTGTACCTGGAGCCAAGCTTCTTCTTCAGAAGAACCACTTAATATTTGTACTAGAATGAATGAGACCAGAGCTGCCTGGCTCCTTTTTACACAGGATATCAACAGCAAAAAGGGCATTTTCTTGTTAGCGCACTGCCACTGCACTCCTAATGGGAGAGATCTATTAATAGAGTAAGTGGGCAGTCAGATATGTCCTTCAAAAACCTGCATGGGGCTGTAATTCTTCAGTTTTTAGCTCACACATTGCAGCATCCAGGGAAATTGTAGGGCTGGAGTGGTTTTCACTTCTGGCAGATGAACAGGATTTTTCATGTATTTACATTTCCTCTCTTGGTACCCGTATCACTCCATGTAACTGGAAAATTAATAAAGAGTTTATGTCTAACAGGATAGAAATAAAAGGAGGACCAAAGCTGATGTACAGTAAGTCAATATAATCAGGAGGAATTGATCAGTGGAACACAAAATGCTTTCATTGCCTTCAAAGTCAATATTGCAGGGGGAAAAATAGATTTGCAGAATCGCATACACTCAGCTTAGCCACTAAACACTTCACAGGCAAAACATGTTTTTTCTAAGTGTTTTAGAGCTTGTGTTTTTGGTTTTTTTAAATTTCCTTAGGATGAGTCTATCACTTCAGAAAAACAGGTAGGAGTCAGGCTCTCTGGTGTTAATACAGACTTTTATTGTGTTCTTCTTTTTGGGAATCCTTCTGAACATCACAATAAGCAGTATTTATTTCAGATCCCATCAAAGACTGAATATAGATCCTACTCAGTAATGAGTAAATCTAAGGAGGTTCTTGAAGCAGTCAGAAAATTGTATTTAATACTGCTTACCAATATTTTGTTTCTCTGGAATGGCTAGAAGTGTTAGTTAAGCCCCTGAGCAAAAAGTGTTGTGCAGATATGAAAACACTGAATGTGCCCCAAACAGTTTAAAATCCATGTAGTAGAAAAAGGACAACAGATTGCTGTAGGCAAATGGAAAAGCACAAAACTGATACAGTATAGGTTCTGCTCATCATGCACTCGTTTGAAAAACTATTAAGCCTTCAGTGGACAATAGCACTGAGAAGTATTTGAAATTATGAAACACAATCAAGTCTAAGTATCAAGCCTAGACACTAAATGGTAAGTCATAAATAAAGTATGGTAGAATGGGGTAAGATTTAGAAGGTGAAGAGGAGAAACTTTAAAAGGTCGGTAAAAGATTGTATAGTACTGGGGACACAGTAGAGAAGAGAAACTACAGAGGTGAACCTTGCACATCACCCTGAAGGGCTATGTGCTGGGAAAAAACAGAGGAAAACAGAATAAAAATCAAGGCTGGTGAGCTTAAATGAGAGTGTTAGCTATGTGAGGATGGGAAAGGTGAAAACCTAGAGATATTACAGAGTAAGAGTCTATAAAAATTCCAAGCAACCAGAATAAGAAATTCTGGGGGAGGGTTCATCTTAAATATCATTGGGAAGTTTCTTTATTTGCTTCTTAACTCTCTACATAAGCTGTTGGGTCCTTACCTCCAGGTGTCCCAGGTGTCAGTCCAAATTGCTGATGGTCTTCAAGTTGTTCTAAATTCAATTCTTTAAATACTGTTAGACCTTGTGTCTCTGCAATGTATGAAGATTGTCTGAGTCTTATTTTGTTCCTTTTCATTGGAGTTGAAGCATCACCACATAAAAGCTGGTGAAATGATGATGATGATGATGATGATGTCAGCTGAAGTTTGGGACATGAGGTTCAGTGGGTTCAGAGGGTTCAGCTTAGTTTCCCTCCTTTTTGCCATTTGTACTGTAATGAAGTTTATTTGCCTGACATCACTCTATGGGATTTTTTAAGATTTTCACTAGCTGTGAATCGGTGATGAAGACAACCTTCCCTGCATCCTCTGACACTGGTGGCACTAAATGTGCAACCCGGGGACTGAAGTCCCAGGCTTTGCCCCTGTGCTTTTGCAGCCACCCTGCCACACTGGTAGTCCTCATGGATGGAATTCATCAGACCACAGATGCCAACGTTTAGGTTTGAACAAGTGTTGAGGTTATTTCACCATTAATGGTTTATTTTAACCCTACAGTAGCTCCGAAAATGGATCTGGCGATTTTTTTCCTCAAAAGTTTCTGTTTCTCTTAGCAGGAATAAAGGCAGTCTAGGCTGACTTCTACCTCACGGACATCTTAAAGTCATGTGAGATGAATTCTACCCTACACAGCCAGTCTTTAATAGTGAGAAATTTTCTCCAAAGTTGAGAATGAAGATGAGAGATAGTGAGGTGGAGAGTGGAATATTTTGCATCTTTGCTTTCACTCACATACCCCTTTCATTGATGCGTTTGTGTTCAAGTCACCATTCCATCTGGATGTTGAGAACAATGTGATGGCAGGTACCTGCCAGAGAGCACATGTTTTCAGTTGAAGAGAGAGCTCAGCATATTCCCAGCATGATTGGGACCAAACCTAACCTGCCGAGTAACATATATATTTATGTGGTTTAGTGTTTGGACATATTATTTATTCTTGTCCCATTCCTAGTGTGTCTTCTACCTTTCTCTTCTCCTTTGCCAAAGCAAATCTTCCATTTCCCTTCCATATTCCTACTCTCTCGTCCTTGTAATTGAGGTTTTATTTCCTTTCTTCATCACCTGATCACACATCTCCCTTCTCTCCATCCTTCCCCCTCTTCCTTTCCCAGTGTTTGAGGTAAAACAGAAACAAATTTCTGTTCAGTTATTTTACATCTTAGCTAGGCCTCTTCTGACTCTCTGAAATTAACAGCATATTGTGGAGAAAACTGCTCATTCTCAGAGTGATAAGACCAATGTTGGTACTTCATGCCAAGGAACAGTATGCAGAGAGGCTCTTGCTTATACTTATTGCCATAACAACCAAGGCCAGCTAATTTCATTATTTGTCCCGTTGGAGGGTCGGAAACAGAAAAAGCATAGAGGAGTCCCACCTGTGGGGAGGAGTGGACAGGACAGGTGACCCAAAACTGACCAACAGGGGTATTCCAACCCATCTGCCTCATGCTCAGTATAAAAGCTGAGGGATCGAAGGGTCAGCCCTCTTTCTTCAACGGCCAACGTCTGAAGAGGACCCTGTCTGTTCATCTGCCTTTGATCCCTATATGTGTGTTCCTGACTCCACAGCTGGAATCCTGTTCCCGTCCATCACTGACTCCAGTCTGGGATTTCCCAAGTGCCTGCCCGTGATGTCATCCTGGGAACTTGATACAGTTTCATATGTATTTTATCTATTTCGTTATTTCCTTTTTTTTTTATTCTTTTAATATTAATACTTCATTAAAGTAGTTTAGTTCATTCTAAACTTGTAAATCTCTTTATCTCTTCCTCTCCTCTCTCTTTTCTGGTTTTGGTCAATTTGGCCTAAACCATGACACCCAGTCTTTCCTTCCCTTCCCATCCCCATTCTCCCAGCAGCACGTTTTGGAGAGAAGCTGGTGACGAATTTTAACAGCCACAAGCCCATTGTGCAGAAGACGACTCCACACCAGTGGCCAGACTTTGCCGTGCCACCACCTTGTGCTTCAGCCACATTTTCTGCCACGCACCCCTTGTTCCTCTTGGCGTGCTTGCACCACTGCCATCTCCTGCCTTTCCTCTTCTGCCAAACTGTGCATGGCTGAAATGGTCACAGCAGTAAAAAGGTCTCCGCTGCTCCAATCTGCGTGTCCCGGAGGGCCAAGGCATTGACCACTGGAACACTGCCTTAAAATAATCAATAGCACCGGGTGACACGCCAACCTCGCGCTGGCCAACCAGGGATAACTTGGGGTATTTCCTCATTCTCCAAAGGGAAGCAGCTATTTGTTTAATAGAGGCCGTTGCCCGAAAACCTGGCTGTGCCTCCCTCAGACCGCCACGCTCCAGGAGAGGGGAACTGGGAAGCCTGAAGCCGGTTGTGGGGACCTCTGGAGCCTGAAGGCCACCTTAGCCCTGTGTGGAAGGTAAGCAAAGGTATTTACGTGCTTTCCTTGGCATTAAAAAGCAAAACTTTCTAAAACCCTGGTTAAAAGTTAGAAGCTTGCTCTAGCCACCTTGCTTAACAAAGCTGTAGAAAGTGCTTTTGTTTGCTGAATTAATAAAGTGTTTTGAGTGCTTCTGGCAATCCAGAGTGTTTTCTTAAGCTGTAATAACACGGTCAGATCCTCTGATGTACACAGCTAGCAAAGCGGCATTGATTTTGGTGGTAGAGACTCTCACTAGGTCTGGTGATTGATGTTTAGGTAAGTTCTCCTTGCAGTTTGAAGTGGTATGAAGATAGGTCAGAGAGAATGGGCTGTAAACCCCTGTTCTTCCAGCCAAAGCAGCGTCATGTTGCTTTGCACCGGGCGAGAATTGGGCCCTCTGGCTATGTGCGGAAGATGCAGAAGAGAATTTATAACTCGCCTAAAAGACTTAGCTTTTACAGAAGGAGGCCAGGCTGTGCCTGTGCTTGTTTGCTTCTCTCTGGGGAGGGGAAGTAGGTGAGGCTGGGCAAACACATGGAAAAGTAAAAGCTGGAATGAGTCAGTAAAGCAGACAGGCAAGAGTCAGAGTAAAAAAATCGCAAATCCATCGGCTATTTGAGAGAAAGATGGGTGAAACATTCAATATTCTTTCCATTTCCCTCCCCTTCCTCCCCGCTTCATCTTTCATGTGCACGTTGTCTGTCTGCTTAGATTTTTATCTCTTTGAGCTGGGGCTTTTATTTCCAGAGGCTTGCAAAATGCCCTGCCCAATTTTGAGCACTATATAAACAATAGGTAATGACCATAAACCAAGAAGCACCTCTTTTAAAAATGTTCCCTTCTGGAATAGTTTAATGCCAGTTAACTTGTTTTAAAGCTGAATTAAAAAGCATAGCATGGTTGTAAAATGCTCAGAAGAAAAGCCATATAAGCACAGTGCTCTCATTAAACTCCTAGCAGCAGAGAACAATGCAAATTTTTTGCTATAGAGATGCAGACTCATAAGAAGTCTCTGGCAGTCTCAGCCACTTCACAGCAATATACGGCATCCCATAAAGTCTTTCTGTTTTCCCTCTCAGTTACAGAGGTCTGAGGAGGTTTGTCTGTCTTCATGCCTTACCTCACCTCTTCGCTGTCTTTGTTCTGTCGACAAAGCTGGTCTCAGCCTGTCTCTGGCTTTCTCAACTATCTCCATACTGTCTTTCATCTGGGCTTTTTTGCTGGGGAACCCAACCTTGATTAATTTCTGCACTTTTAGCCAGCTTAATACCTTCTCAGCACCACCTTCTGTCACAAAACTTTCAGCATTAGCCAATGCACATGACAAAATGATGGACATTTCACTGTTTATTGCCTCAGTTATTACAAAAACTATTTGCACGTAGCAAGCGTAGGCGTGCACACGTGCACAGCTCTGTGTGTGTGTGTAACACATGGGTGTGTATTGAAATGGTGTGTGTCCAGATCATCTTCCTCCTCTTACATTTTTTAACTTACTCAAGGGAGAGCAAAGCCATCTTTGAATATCTTTCTTTTAATATCTCCAGGAATGGTGCCTCAACTACTTCCCTTTGACATAAACTGTCAGCTTTCTCTGAGGACAGAAACCCACAGGTTGATATTTTGTATTTTTATGTGCTTGAAAGCCTTGAGCTGGAGTAAAGCTATGATAAAACATCATGAAGAAGTTGTGATCAGTTTGTGCCATAAAGTTAATGGCAGTGTGAACGTTTAACAATCTCTGGACTTCAGTAGTCTGAAATTTCCAACCTGACACGGAGAAATATCTGTGTATCCACTTTTGTACTGATCAGCTTTTTCTCTTTGTCTATAGATCACAGCGTGAGTACAGTATGAGCTGAGGTGGTTCACTTTGGTAAAGGGGGGGTCTAATAGCAGCCTACAACAAACTGAGAAGGGAGTGACAGAGGTGATGGGTGGTGGGAGAGGGTATAACAAGGATCACCAGCCAGACTTACAGCTTGGGACATCCAGGTTGGACATGAGGAAACACATTTTCACCAAGGGGTTGGGGCAGTCCTGCAACAAGTCACCCAGAGAGGTGGTGGTAGCTCCATCCTTGGGGGTTTTCAAAGCTCAGCTACACCAAGCCATGGCTGACACAGCGACCTAGTGTTCATGGCAGCTCTGCTTTCAGCAGGAGGTTGAACTGGAGAACTGCAGAGATGCCTCTCAACTAGTGCTTCATTTGTGTTGATTCTTTGTTTTTGAAAGAGGATTCTTTGATTTTAAAGAAGGACTTGAGCACAGTGAAATATTAAACTGATCTTTTACACATTATGGTAGACCTCTGAAAATGAGGTGGGATGGCTTTGTGACCTGCCCTTAGCGAATAGCCACAGCATTAGACAGGCTTCCAGTTTCTTGGATATTTTAGAGTGTGGGCCAAACAACCCCATAACCTGCAGTCTTATCTACCCTTATCTGCAGGATAAGCACATCACAGGAAACAGCAATCTAAGTTTCTCCAATTCTTGCTGATAATGTGTTTTTGACCAAAACAGAGAAGATGCAGCTGGTAGAGGCCCTGGTGAGGCTTTCCCATCTGCCCCAGCACAAAGCCAGTTTGAACATTTCTATGGCATTCCTGGCAGTCATGTCATGCTCTTCTAGACCTTCAGTGCAGAAGATCTCAAATCAGTTTCCCAAGAGAGTGGTCCCAGACAACCCATTGCATCTACCTCCCCTTCCACCCAAGGTCTTAGCCCCACCATGAAGTCCTCCAGCTCGGGTATCATTTTGTGTGGCCACACTTTTGTTACTGATGTTCCCAATGGACAGATAACTGTCAATTAGCAACTGAAACGAAACTCCCTGTTCACTTCATACCAACACATGTTTAGGCCTGGCAGTTTTAAATAAATTCAATTAAACATTCCAGTTTTTAATAATTCCATTTTAAATAAAGTGTCTGAAGGGAAAGGTCTCTGTAGAACAGGATTATCCGTGTAAGCCTTAACTGGAACGTTTCTTCCTTCAAAACTGATTCCTCTTTCATTAAACGAGAAAACTGCTGAAATCCATGCTCCCTGCACTGTAATAACCCAAATCTGCTTTCCTCAGCAGAGAGCTACCATGTGCACGGGCAAGTGTTCAAAGTGCATTGGGATCACCCTGTTCCCACTGGCAGCTTGTGCCATCGTCTCCAACATCCTCCTGTACTTCCCCAACGGACGAGTTCTGCAGCTCAGCGAGATAACCGATCTGGTCTGGTTTTTCCACGGCATTCTGGGAGCTGGGATACTGGTAAGAGAAAAGTGTTGCTACTGTTTTCTATGGGTTTTGTTTTGGTTTAGATTCAAGGCTAAGAAAATCCCTGTTAACAAAAAAAGTCATAGAGATGTGTTTTCCATAAATATGTGAGCTGCTTAACTGGGAAGTTGGGTATTGGGCTGAGAAAGTGCACTGAAGGCTGAAAAAGTCCCTAATCACAGGAATGCAAGGTATTCCTGAGATAAATACCAGGACTGCAAGTCAGGAGGAAGCGATAGGACTGAATTCTCACTGTGGAGAAGGGTGACTGGAACGTGTTTCAGTAGGTGTTCGTTAGGCCCCACCAACACTCGATGAATGCGGAGCTGCAAATGGCTTAAATCCCAAATGCACTGTGTACCCACGCACCCACCCAACACCCTTTGGGTTTGATCTGGTTTACCTGTGCTCTACTATAACCACTTCTCCATTCCACCACTCAGGAAAGATTGCTTTTATGTGAATATCCATAACCAGAAGGGAACATGTTTGGGACTACTGATCTTCCCAGTTCATTAGAAAGCCTGATCCCTTTACACTCTTCCAATTATCCACCCAAGTGGAGTTAAAAAGCCGAGCGAGTAACATGAATATGACAAGAACTGCTATTACACAGCCTAGGCAGATGGTAAACTGGCAAGAGTTGGCTACCTAAGCATCAAAAAAATGAATGTTTAAGAGTAATTAACTTAGAAAAAAGCAAATGTCATTCACAGTCCAGCTATGATGTAGCTACCACTTAAGTCTATGGGAAAGCTACAATGGATGTGGTTCAGACTCATATTTCCCAAAGCAGAAATATGGTATAAGATCATTCATAAATTGTTCTCCACTAGCAGCTTGCCTGCTTCTTCTTCCAGCTACCACTTGGGCCTATTACTCATGCTGAGCTTGAACAAAAGCATGAGTTTGTGGAAGGAAGCCTAAAGGAAGAAGTGGAACTACATGAGAGACCTGTGGAAAATTCGTATCACTGCAAGCCCAGGAGTCATTGGCGTTCAATGAAAGGAAAGGCAGATGTTAGGCATGAGAGCGTCACAGGCTCATTGAAAACGTGCCTTCTTTTAAGGCTTCCACACAGACTTGCCTGTGGCCAGCACTACGTACATCAAAAATGAGAACAGCAAGTGAGGCGGGAGGAAAAATTTGCGTTGACCTTCAAAACACAGCATTAGGAGTAATTATCGATCCACAGACAATGCTGTTGAGTGTATGTGTTTTCCAGAAAACAGCATGACAAATGCCCACAGGTGAAGAGAAGGGGAAAGAAAGCATTATCATCAGCTCCATTTTCCAGGTGCTGGAAGCATGGAAAAATGAAATCTGTCTTCTAGGCCTCCTAGAGAGCTAAGCAAGGGGAAGAATTCCCCATGACTGGAACTTGGTCTGTATCCTGACTCCACAGTGAGGAATGTGCAATGTGTTCCCCTGGGCACCTAGCTTTTCCCCAAAGGAAACACAGGCAAGTCATGCCAAGAGGTTGCCTGATCTTGGAGAATCTCCCTGTGACCGCGACAGTCTCCAGAGCCAGGGGAAAATTCATAACAGCCTGGCCTGGCTCTGTAAGCCAGAAAACCTACCTCCACCTGGGAACTTCATCTGTAGACTGATAGCTAGGCCATCAGCATACTCTTTGGCTGAGCTGCCAGCCTCACCACTTCCTCCTCTGCTGCTTCTCCAATGGAAATTTATATGACGTGAAAACCTCTCCAATTTCCTTATTTCAAGAGTTTAGGATGTAAAGAGAGGAAGACCAGCTCCGTGTGTCATAATAACGTCTTTCTTGATGGGAAGTCTGTGTGCAACACCGGGAAATGCCTGTCTAAGCCATGGCTCACACACAGCCCTCATTTTACTGACAATAGGCAAATCTAGCAAATTCTTATTCCCCTGTCAAAAGGCAGGTGTTTATAATCAGGCACTGCAAAAACACAAAGCTGCCAAACAAACCCTTCATCCCGAGCCAGGCTAATAGATGACCTGAAGGTGTTTGCAGCTTAGATGGGAAACCTCCAAAGAAGAAAGATAGCCCTGGAGGAAAGGGAGTGTTGTCTTGATGGGCAGAGGTATTAACTCTCCTTCTGAGGGCCAGACAGTGGCACGCTGGGGCTGAGGCTGCCTTGGGGACCATCTGTGATTACTTAAGAGCTGACTTCTTTCCAGGAAGGGGAATGTCTTTTTACCCTTCATGGGCTATACCTGCAGGGCTCTAGCTGTGGTCCAGAGACCACTGCAGGTGCTGGAGGCTGCTCCTGGGGTGTGCATAAAAGGCAGCAGAGAGCAAATCCTTTGAAAAATCTTTAAGGGCCTGCAAATCTAAGGTTTCATACCCTGTCCTACACAGTCTAGCAGAGACATTCACACTACATACATAAATTCCCTGGGCTTCATTCACCATGGACCTTCTGCTCTTCCTGCCCTGCATGGGACAATATCTCTCTGACATCTAGTCAGGTTGTTTTTGCAGTTTTTACCTTGTTTTTTTGTTTGTTTGGAGAGTTCTCCTTCTCTCATTAACTTTATGGTGACCATTTCCTACTTTCTCAAATACTCATTTTCTTGCGTTGCTCTTTGAGATGCCTACACAAGCAGTGGTGGGCAGAGGCAAGGCATCAGGAGTGCTCTGGCTGCACAGCTAGACCCACAAAAGCTTTCTTGCCCTCTAGCTACCAAACTAAATGCAGCTTTTTTTATCTCCAGAGTGCCTCTCTAAGGTGGCATTATATCCTGAGACACAGATGGTTACTGACTTCATCTTATCAGTCCAGCTCCACCTGATAATTACCATGCAGAAGCTGATGTGAACTGGGAGTTCCCTGTTGAGTGAAGTCCATTTTGTAGTTTTTCTAGAAGCTTAGCACAAAGAGCCAAAGTCAGATGTGTTTCAGGAAGTTTAAGACTGATTTCCTAATTATAGTCTAGAGCAGGATTCTCACAAGATTTAAACTGACATAATTCTTACCCCAGTGACGCATCTTTTCTGAGCAGAAATTCCATTTTCTTAAAACTGACATGTTTGTTCCTGGAAAAAAACCAAAGCCCTGCTGAAAGGAAGCAGTGTAGCTTCAGCAATCCAAATTACTGTAGCAGAAACTTGCCAGCCAGCTCTAGCTCTAATTCCATGCTTCTTCCCAAGCTACTCTTCAGCAAGCACCAACATCTAAGGTGTAACTCACAGAGAAGAGGCACAAGGTGGTTTGTATTTGAGGAACATGATGTCCCAGCTCCTAGACTTTACAAAACAATCTCAGCAGAAGTACCACTCACCAATTCAGCTTGTGCTTTTCTTACAGGTTATTTTGCCAGCATTCATGATGCTGGGAGCAGGCGGAGCAGGATGTTGCGCTAACAGATGTGGGGTAAGTGGATATTTATGTGTTGAAATGGCACTATATGATTTGCCCATTAGCTCTTAAATGGCTGCTCAGCAGATGGAAATGTACAATGACAAACCATCACACCACCATCAACAGCCATGTCAGGGAAATGCAGAAAAGGAGCTTGATCTACAGCGTCTCTGGGCCGGGGCTGAGAGCTCAGTTAGCCAACAGGAATGTTATGATATTGCAGCCACTGATATGAGGGAAATCACACTCAGCCAGGGCAGGTGCTGGAGTATTTAGCCACATCACTGAGGGCAGAGAAAGATGAAGCTACTTACTTCACGTACAGTAAAGCATGACTCCTGCTTCCCCCTGCTCAAGGCAATGCTAAAGATTGAGATGGCTGGCTGTTCCATCTGCTTTCACCTGGTCCTGTTTCTTCCATGCTCTTCCATAGCAATTTGCTTTTTCACAGGTTCAGCCCTGCTTACCTCTGCAGGGACAGATAGGTCTCCTACTTTACAGGTCCATGCTAAGAGCCTGAGCTGCTGCTGGCACTAAGGAGCCAGGTGATGAAGCTACTCAAACCAAACTAGAGAAGAGGCTTAGTGAGGACAGAATATCTGTGAAAATGCTGTCTTCTGGGATTGTGTGAATTGCTCACCTCTTTGAGGTGGAAAAGAGTGCAGCTCTGCAAGTCACCTTATAGTTTAAAAAGAATCTAGAGGTGAGATGGGGACATGAGCAAAGAGCAAGTGGTTATGAGTGGCATTAAAAACAACTCTTTCTCCCAGAACAGTTCCTGGGGAAGAGTGATTTCCAAGTGTGCAAAAAGAGGTGAGTACTGCAGGGAGATCTGAAGGCCAGTGATGTACTTTCTCCAGAGAAGAAACTTCAGAGAAACATTACTTTGGGGATAGCAGGAGGAAAGGCACAGACATCCACATCAGGGTTGCTCAGATGCCCTGAATATGGGCTGTATACCCAAAGGCAGGGTATGGTGTGAATCACCAGGCACTGGAGAGCAGAAGAACCCTGGGACTGATTCAAACATGCATGATGGCCATGGCTTCCCAAGGTGCCAGAACTCCTTGTGAGGTGGGTTTGGGTGGACCTGATACCATGTCTCTAGCTTTTGGTGGCTTGTTCACCAGCTTTTACCTGCTGGCAGAGAAATAGCTCACACTGGAGCTGCTCAGGAGCCTGTATAATTCAAAGGCTAGTTTTTTCATGTTTTTGCTTTGGGGACCTTAGCTATAGAATTATAATTTACACTGAATACTCAGCATTGTTTTTCATAGGGGATAAAAAAAATTTAAAGAACTAATACTGTTCAGAATTATTATTCAATCAGAACGTAACTATTTTCCTCAGGGCAGGGACTGTGTCCTATTTTATTTTGTGCAATCCCTGGTTTAATAATTTCAGACTTCATCACAGCCTTTACACTCTGCTGAAGTATGAACGACAGTAATAACAATTACTAACTTTCTCATCCTTTCATTCACCTTATTGAGTTCTTCAGTTCACAGTCATTATGTGCTGCATTGAGTAAGTTTTCTCATTAATCCATTTTAAACCGTTGCCTCCAAACATACCCAGGTGGCTTCATATCCTTGCATTATGGAGTAATGATTTTGGAAAGTAACAGATTTAGAGAGCGTCTGTGTCTCGCAGCATAGATAAATGAAGATGGTACAGCTAGGGAAAATGCTGAAAGGTTGAGATGATGCAATAGTTAATAAAATTGTTGTATTTCCATAGCATATGGGACAAGCCCCCAGAAAAGATTCCAGAAGAGTAGATATAATGGGGAAATGCCACTGTGTGTCTATAAAATGACCCGGAGAGCCAATCTACCAGCTGCAGCAACTTCAGACTCCCCTTTCAGTGGCAAGCACTATTTGTCTATATAATCATGTGCACAGTAAGGGAAATAAATGAGATGAAGTTGGCCATACAGCCACCAGATTTCAAATGAAAAAAATCATGTGTCAAAGAATAGCCATCAAAGATAGCATTGTACTAGTACTAGCACTAACCATTGTCATAAAACATAGAAGCAGCAAAAGACCATTTGACTCTTTCTATCATAATGTCTTTGGGATGGCACATACTGGAAAGCTGTGCCAAAACTAATAATTTGCATAATTAAGATCCTTCAACCAAGATGCAGAATGCACAGTTGAAGTAAATGAGAAAACATGTGGGGAGAAGTGGTTCAGCGTAGGCAGGAGTTCCAGACAGAATATCAGCCACTCACCATCACCGCGAGGAATGGCTGGTGATCCTGTTATGGGAGACGGTGCATCAGCTACAACCCAGCGCTGCTTTGGTCTGGACAATATAGTAAATTACTTGCATTTTGCTGACAATGAAGCTCTGCTAAGAGGGAACTCAGCCAACATGCACATAAAGACGAAAAGAGTGTCCAGCTTTGCAAAAAAAAAAGGACAGTTATTAATCAGTTATGATTAAATAAGTCTCATGAGAAATCCCAGCAACTTCTAACTCAAGAGATGCTTTAGAGGTAAAAGGACACACAAAATGAGTCGATTGGCACACTCACAGCATGCAGGGTTGTACAGAAAGCAGTAATGTCATCTGCTGGCAAGTTGGAAACTGCATTCACCAGCTTGGACATGTTTAGATAGCGAATAGTTTTCAAGATTATGTCACGAAATCTGCAATAGGGATGATGGTATTTTCCTTTGACCCTGTAGTGCAGCACTGTGCAGAGCGGCTGGCATCAGAGGAAGGTTTCTACCTTCCTTGTGGGCTATTAGAGGTCACTGGTATTTGCTGGCAACAGGAAAATGTGAGGCCTGAGGTATTTGGCTTCACACCAAAGTCATGGACAGGAGTGTTTCCCATGTGCTTCCTCTGCCATGCCTCTGCCCTGACTCCGAGGCAGCCTTGCTGCCTTGCCCCCAGTCCAGGTCTTCCCCTGGCTCTGGCAGTCTGCTCCAGTTCTTCTTCTTCTTGGCAGACTTGTGTACAACAAGTACACAAGGGCAAGGACTCTTAACAGGACTAGTGGGAAGCCTGTCCCAGATACACCAGCAGCAGCACCCTCCTGAGTTTGTTGTTTCTATACAGAAACAGCAACCAGATACATCCCATCCATTAATAGAAAACTGCCCCAAACATAGTAAAGGTAACGTTTCTGTGGGAGTGGCCGATGTAAAACGTACAGGTGCATTACATGTAATTCAAAGTCACCACTGATTCGTTGCCACACGCAGCACAAGTAGATTTCTCAACACAAGCCATGGTAACCACATGTCAAACCTGTTGCAAAATTAAGGAAAGCAGCAATAAGAAAGGCTCTTTTGCATTCCTCATCAATTAGCAAAAACAACTAATGCATCTTTCTGTTGCTTTCATAGCTGGTTTGGTAGTTACTTGCTAGTTTCTGTTGGTACAAGGGCTGAGAAAGGTGCTCTTGGTGAAGAGTTGGAAATGTTGAGGCACATGATATGGACCACATCAAGCCTGTACTGTCTTCATATTGGCTTTTTGAAAGAAGATCCATCAGATTTTTTGTAAGTTATGGGTTGAGTATAAGATTCTGAATAAGTAAATCTCTGAGCTTAACCACTTTTAAAAGCAAAACAAATAAAGTTTGAAATCCTTTAGCATTTAGGATAGCCACAACAGTCAGAAAAAGTCTAGTTATTTTTTGTTCCCACAAATATCATGCTGTTACTATAAGTTTCAGCATGTAGTAAGAAACAGATAAAGGTAATTCCTTCCCATTCAGTGTAAGCTGCTCAAGCCTCTGTTCATGTGGTGTTGAGGGTCTCTTCCCTTCCAGATGCTGCTGTCAGTGGTCTTGTCTGTGATGGGATTCGCGGGAGGAGCATATTGTGCTGTCATCTCCTCACTGGGGTTGATTGGGGGCCCTCTGTGTGACACAGGTGATGGAGAATACCTCTACCCTTTCAGGAATGACACTCTGGAGTGAGTATGACTTACAGGCTCCTCTAACTTTGGTTTCCCTAATCACGCCCCCTCCCCATCTTTTTATAGCAAATTGGGATTTTTCCAAAGTGAACTGATGATCCACCCTGTCCACACCTAAATTCACATTTCTCTGAGTGGCAAGTTCCAGCTGGTCGTCTCTGTGACCAAGGAATCATCTTTGGGCAAACTGCCTGAGCTTCTTCTGTTGTGCTTGTCAGCAGCCCCTTGTGCAAGTTGCACAGTGCTTTCAAAAGGCTGCTGAGCTGTGACTCCCACTGGAGCCAAAAGGAAGTGTTTGATAACTCTGACACGTTAATCTGTTAAATCATCATGAATCTACCTACTTCTGAAGAGCAAACCAAAAATCTTCTCTGTATCTTTAAAGTTAACTTTGGCAACCATGCACTTCAAGCCAGAGCTAGAGACAATGGATGGGCTGGGCTGAGATACTGCAGCAGGGATGGAGAACATGGAGACACATTTTTAAACCGTTGGGGACCTTTCCCTTTAGTTACTAGCACAGCCATAAAACAAGAGGGAGATTCCTGTGCATGCAACCAAGTACAGATGCAGCTCTCTTCTCTAGTCATCAATTGCATCTCTGCACCTCAGAGACTTCTAAAGAGAATCAACAGTTTTTACTAATAATAATAGAATATGAGACTCACTTTACATTGGGAGAACAAGTTTCAGGAAATGTAACATGGAAAGCATTCTCAAATTTCTACTTCCTAATAAGTTGCCAATTATTTTTCTCTATCACAGAGACAATTATTTGTTCAACCAGACAACATGGAGCATTTGCAAAGAACCTGAAAACATCATCCTTTGGAATATTGTCCTTTTCTCTATTCTGCTGGCCATCGGTGTGATTGAAGCCATTCTTTGTTTTATTCAAGTCATCAATGGACTTACTGGCTTCATATGTGGCACATGTATGAGGAAAAGAAAGGTTGGTATGCAGTAGAAGATATCAGGGTGCTTTACGTTCCTACCACTTTTACTTTTTTTCAGGCTCTGGTAATGGCAGATGATCAGAGAGATCTGCACAGCCCCTGAACAAGCTCCTCCGAGGAGCTGAGGCCATGCAGAGGCATTTGCACACTGTCTCTCTCTTCCTCCCTCACACTGTAGTCAGGGGTAACTCCGTCCTCAGACACTTCAAAACGGTGGAGCGATGTGAGGTATCGATATACTCACTTATGGGGCTGTGTTCCTATTTAGAAGCCTTTTAGATAAAGTGTAATGACTCCTCAGCATCTGTACGTGAGAAAGATGAGAAGTAGAGGTGCTTTTAATTGGAAAACAGTAGTAAAAAATGTCATTTTATAAAATGGAAGAAAACTTCTGTCAAGTTTCTTTTATCACCATTGCTTCCTATTCACTGTTTATTTTCATTTTACAAGATGCTTGCAGTAAGTCTGATATCCTCTTAGAATATTAATTAATCATCTTTCATTCATTGCCTTTCAGACAAATATTTCTGGAATGTGAATGACCTACAGAGGATGCCAGGACAAGCCCCGAGCTGCCAATTCACACACAATAAGGATAGTGCACCGTGCTGTATTTATGGGGGGATGACAAAGAAAACTCAAAATGTTCAGGAGCTACATGGGGCAAAATGAATTTTTGATAAAGAAGTCAGGGTGGAAAAGGGCTAGATTATTTAGAGCTGAGACTCCAAATTTTCATCTCTCTGAATATACCTGTTAAATCTCAGGTACTGGCAAAAACACTGACCTGCCTGGTCCTGCCTGCTGAACTGGTGTGTAAAACAACAGTTCCCAGATAAAAGCTCACCACCCACCCTGTTGTTTATACAGGAAACTGAACCATTGTTAATGTATACATTTTATAGAATCATAGAATGGTTTGGGTTGGAAGGGACCTTAAAGATCATCAAGTTCCAACTCCCCTGCCATGGACAGGGGCACCTCCCACTAGACCAGGTTTCTCAAAGCCCCATCCAACCTGGCCTTGAACACCTCCAGGGATGGGGCCTCCACAATTGATCAGCTTCACGAAGCAGGCACTCTCTGGCTGGATGTAAATAGCCTCCCATCCCCAGCAAATCCCACCATGAGTTCACCTGTCTGTTCCTATTAACATGCTTGCCAGGCACTTCCAGATTTAAATTAGGATGCCCAGAGAATACAAGTGGCATTTGCAGCACCACAGAGGCAACTGAAGCACATGGTTTTCAGCCTCCTTCAGTCACCCTGGAGCCAAATCTCCTTGTGCCCATCTAGTAGCTTTGACTTTGACAAAGTCCAGTGCACCTCTAAATCGGTTATTCAAGAGCATCTGAGAGATGTGGTAGCCCTGGAGAGGCATTTGGGTCAATATGGACAGTGGGGTTTGGAGCAAGAGTTTAGAATTGTCCAGTTTAGCAGAACGGTGGAGAACCTCACCACCAATTTTGCCCTCACGAAACTGCATAGGAATTTCACTAATTTCCTCACAGGTCTGTGGGTCTGTTCTTGAATGTAAAATGGGCAAAGCAATTAACTGCTAAAGATAAACATTAAATTGTTAAAGGTAGTGATTATGTGCAGTTTAGTAACAAATAGGAGATATTATCTAAAAAGGCAACAAATTGCATCAGTTTTAGTGTTACAGCAATAGTGATCCCAGCCAGGAATTGTGCAATTCTCCATCATCACTCAAGATCAAGCCCTTGATGCTGAGGTCCATGACTGGCAAATTTCAGAAACCCCATAATTTCAGCAACTCCCTCAAAGGTTAATTCTTGGACATGCCACTGACTTCCCTGAGTCAGCCAAACTGTAAGATGATCTTTATCCATCCTGAACGCATGTATGCAGTTATGAGAAGCTGAATGTATCTAGAGCACTCAGAGTCTATTTTTCAGAGAGAGACATTCATGTCTTCTCAGTCAAAAGTTGTTTGTGCTTCTGTATTGTAGAATGAGAGCAAGTTATTTGAACACAGTCATTGCAGACACATACGGCAGTTTGTGCTGTCCTCTAATGCAGCACACACCCCTTTATGCAAAATGGGGAAGAAAATGTCAAGTGGGCCAAGAAGAGTAGCACATGTACACTTCCTTGGAGCATAGCTTCACCCTTAGAAGCAGGAAATTTGCCACATAAAACTTAAAAGTACCTTCAGTAAAAAAAAAAAAGCTTAAAATGCGTTGACGTTTGCAATCATGACCAGGTGCACCCAAACCTGCCAGGTGGCTTAAAAACTCACGTTCATTGTCAGCAATGAAGGCTGGGCAGTGCTATCACATATGGCAGACATCAAAATAAAGCCAACTGTTTAAAAAAGAGTCAAGGAGGCAGCTAGAAGTAAGGATATTTGTCATATAGTCGTGTGGAGAGAGACTCCATCAGCAGAGGGGTTCTATGAGCTCTTCACGGTCCCTAAATATCAGCCCTGCCCTCATCCTTCAGTTTTGTCTCCCTGACTCCCATCTCTGTGATAAAGCCAGTTTGGGCTGTGCCAGCACCAGGCGAGGGAGAGGTCCCCACTGGCACACACCACCTCCAGTACGGGGAAGTAAAAGCACTGTTACTGCTGCCATCTGCTTGTTCCAAGCTGTCCTGCCCTGGCGATGTTTATTGTCATGTCCGTGTGCTTCTGGGGACACCCTCTGTTCTGCCAACTGAGCAATCGCTGACCTCACTGATATATGTAAATATTAAATATTGTTATTCTGAAGTTGTTTTCTGGCTTGATTTGTGTGACCTAAAGGACTTGTGACTTCTAACTGGCTCCAGTAGGAAGAGACATGGAATAACACAGAAAGTAGAGTTAAACTCAGCTCATCTAACTTGGACCACTGAAAATGAGTCTTTTCCGGGGTAGGCATCAAGCCATATAGTCCATAGAGAAAGGTAACCTTCCCTCAGAACACCACAAGAAAGATGTCCAAGGCAGGTGGGAGGCATTGCCCTCTGAGACAGATTCAGTTGTCCACCGTAGACAGGAGCATCTGGTGCCATTTGAAGTGCAGCAAAGCACCCTGCTCAGCCCCCAGATGCCACTCCAGGCAGAAAGGGTCTCACAGATGTCCTCTGTCACAGCTGAGAGCCACCCACTGATGTCTAGAGAACCAAGTATCTCAGCAGGGTCCAGCAATGCAGAGGTGTGGGTGACCAAAGCAATCACCTGTCTCTTGCAAACACAAGGATGCTAAAAGTTCATTTAGCTAAGATACATAAAGGTGGCTAAAATTAGGTGAAATCATTTCAGATCATGACTTTTGAGATCCCCCAAATTGCTTTTTAGATGAGTCAAAGCCTGACCTCTCAGAAGTGTCACCAGAGCCAGATGGCACGTTGCAACAGGATCAGCTCCTCACATCAAGCACTGCAGGGAGACTGGCAAACTCAGACTTTTCTCGTAGGCAAGGCTTCAAAAGAAAATGTCTACACAATGCTAATAATAATGATAATTTTGACTTGGACTGAGAGTTGGCTTGACTACAGGTAAAATGCCATCTTTCAGAACTGGGATTACTACAGATTTTAAGCGGGCTTTGTTCTTTTTTTTTTCAAAATGGAAAGAATTATTTCAGGGAAATCTCTTAGCAAAGGAAAAGAAGCATTTTGTCTCTGAAGTGTTTTATATAGACATGAAAAATTTAGTAAAACTAAGAAACTCATAACATTCTTCTGTATATTCCTTATACATATTCTTCTGTGTATTCTTAATCTTTTATCTCTATTAATCCTTTATCACTATTTATCTTCTATCTATTTACCTACCTATCAGTCTGCCTTCTCTATAGCTATCAATCTTAAATAATGGATGGTTAAAAACTCACACAATCATAATGACAAAATATCTGTTTAATTTTTATACTTAATACCCACTGTGCAGTCTCACCACACAGGCTCTCATACAAGGAATAAAAATGTGTTACTTTCAAGTTGAATTATCCCTCTCCTTCTGCATTTGAAACTCATGCAGGAGATCAGCCACATGCAAGTCTGTGTTGGTTGGAAGAGAAAAAAATGTTCCTGGGGTTGACTTAGGGTAGAAATAAAACTTCAGACCCAGGAAGCCATCTGCAAAATTGTGAATGCTTGGAGACCAATAGCACAGTGTTTCAGCTGCCAGGATCAAGGACATGATTCAAATACCTGGGTTGGAAACCACAGACTCGTTCATACCATCTCATTTCAAGAGGAACTGCCAGACCATTTTGATGCAAATGGCTCAGGTGCCTCATAGCTCGGTTTTTCTTGGCACACAGAGCAAAGCAAACCAGTGAGAGGTTGGTCCCCACAGACTCCCTGTGCCACGGTCTCTGCTCTGCTGCCCTGTCCCCAGCCCTGCGTCTCTCCTCCCAGGGAGCTCCTCACAGGCAACCACTCCTTTGCAAAAAAACCAAAAACTTTAAAAAAATCCCAAAGGAAATTAAAAAAAAAAACAACCCACAAACAAACAAAAAACTTCCCAGATTTTGAGGACACTTTCATTTCCTACAGAGCACCAGCTCTTTGGGCTTGTCCCTTTCCAGAGGAGTGACAGGGGACAGCCACCCTCCTGAAATGCCCTTCTCTGTGGGACCTCTCTCACCCTACAGTGTCCCTTTCCTCCTTAGTCCCTGGGCCACAGAGGACCACCTAAAGCTTGTCATCATAGTACATTTAACAGAGGAAGTCAGGGCAAGGGCTTCATCTCAGGCACAAAGGCCACTGTTTTGTCCATCTTTATTTCTACCTGTATCTTCAAAGATGAGTAGATGTAAGTGCTCATTACGGTGCAGATCATTTCCACCATAAATAGAAAGCTTCCCTGGTACACAGCACTCCTCACTTTCTTCCAGGCACTCCTCTATTTTTATCAACCACTCATGTCAGAGTCTGTTCCATCAAGGTCAAGTGATAAAGAGAGAGTGAGAGCTCCCCTGAGTATCCCCCAAGTAGATACTCAGAACCATTGGAGATACACCAGGACACCCTGGATCATCCACTTGCCCATGTGGACATCTCAGAGGCTTTAGAGCATCTCATTTGGCACCAGCGCTCTCGATGTGAGCAGCTAAATCAAGCCCTGAAACATCTACTGGGTACAGTGACACCACTCCGAAAAGCAGCCTTAAGCCCAGCAGACTGAGATCTGCCTTCACCTTGTCCTGCCTCACAGGACATAAAATAGGTCAGTGAACCACATCCTAAAATTGCATATATCTCCCCACGGGTTACAGAGGAAGCCTGGAGCCAGCAGTGCAGCAGCTGACCTCCAAAGGTGCAGCCCTCCATCATGAGCTGGAAGCCCACTTCAGACATCCCTCCCTTAGTGAGATTTCTTTTTTAGGGGTAAAATAGATGCATCTGCTGAGAGTCATCTTGTAGCAAAAGAGCACAACAACAGATTTAGTGAGGAATCAGTCTCCTCATGCTTTTACAATCCTTCTTCCATGCACTGTGTGTTGGCAAAGACACTACAGCTCCAGATGAACTACTTAACACACAGTTTTTACTCCAAGTGTCCTTCATCCCATCGTGCAAAGATTTCACTTACATTTTGTCCTATGACATCTACTCTCTATCCTTCTGGGTCTTCAAATGAAATTTCCAGCAGAGTCAGTCCGGACTTCCTGCGTAGGTGTCCAAGAACAAATTCAAATCTTGCTTTGGAGATGTTGAATTTAGCTGACCCCCCACTTGAAGGATGCAATGCCAGATATTTCCTCCCAGGGACGCCTGGCTGCAGGGTGGGTTGAGACCCGGCCACGTGCACCTTCAGCCACACGCATCTTCAACCCCACTCTGTTCCTGCCTCAGAAACATGCTGCAAAACATTTTGCATAGAAAAAAGAAGCTTAGTTTGTGCCTGTATATAAATAGTGTTTTAAAGGCTATTGAAACATCCCATTTTGAACAAGGAAGACAGCCCAGAGAAACCAGTGTCTCCATTGCCACCAACAGCTTCAGTTTCAATGACCTTGTGCAATTAAAGTGGAAGGGAGTGTTTCTAATTACCACCCAGAAAATGTTCCTCAGAATTGCACAGTGTCCTTTTTGTACATAAATATTGGGTCAAAGTTAAAACCCCTCACTCAGTCAAAACAATATTTGAATATAAATATAAAGGAATCTTTCTTCTAAGGCAGGATAAATAATCATGTGGCTGTCAGGCTTTTTCATCTTTTTTAATTTTCACTTTTTTTTTAAATACTCCTTATAGAGACTTCCTAACAGATCACTGCAAAAGTTAGCAAAAAACTTATTTTCTCTTGTACAGAGAGGTGTCACAGAAAACACAGCGTTCCTGCACTTCTCCTCCCTTCTTCCCACATCCACTACCCATGTACATGTGTGTCCCTACCATGTCCTGCCCATGGGACATGCTCAGTCTGTGTCACTGCTATTTCCATGCACGACTTCTCCTGGCTGTCTGCAGGAGATGGCACACGGCAGAAAACCTTCCTGAAGATTTGTGCTTTCAAACTCCTGCTCAGAGTGCATCATCTCAGAGTGCAGAGGAGGAAATATGTGATTTCCATGTGGAAAGGATCTACCCACTCCACAGATGAACACAAGTATGCAGGAAAGCCAAACAAGCGCCCTAAATAGGGCTAGTTTTACATAGAATTGGTTATGAAGAATCACAGCATCACACAGATGAAAAAGATTCATAAGGCACCTGAAGAGATATTGGTATGGCAACTCTACAACAAATGTAACCAACTTCATTCCTTAATATTATACTTGAGCTTCTCTCAGAATTATGTCTGTTTAATGGGAGTTTCACGAAGTAGTTAAAGAAAAGTCTGTATCTGTCCTGTAGTTTTATTGAAGATCCTAAGACCACCCTGCTCTCCTGCCTGCTTCCAGCAGCAAAGCACTGAGGCACTTGCTTTGAGGATCAGTACAGCTCCTTTGGCTGGTCACCGACAAATCTTCTTTCACTGTTTCCTAGGTTTATTTTGATAATTATTGTGGGTTTAGTTCAGTCAACTTTAAACAGATGAATTCTTAGCCCTATCTTCTGCGTTAGCCTTGTGCCTAGAACCTAGAGAAATATGGATTGTTTTCATAGCATTGTATATTAGACAAAATATAACATTTCCCCTCCTCTAAGCCAAGATAGCATTACCCCTCACATCAGTGCTCCATTGCTCCTATCAACACCATTTTCTACTATCTTCTTAAGCTCTGCTTCCTAGAAAAATAAGATTGGGTATCATATGAAGAAGGGGAAAGACTGAAGAATTGCCAGTAGTCCTCCAAATAGATATTTTGCATTCAGTTCTCAAGACCTTTAGGTTTCTGGATCTGTTTCTTACTGCATCTTTCTTTGCAAAGCAGAGTAAACCAATACTTAGCAATTTCTTTACAAGGCAGCACTATTTTTTCTTATTTTTTTTTTTTTCTATTTTTTTATCATTGTGGAGTCAAGCAAAGAATAGTATCATCAGTCCATTATTCCTCCCTGTGATCTAAATTAAGCAACGTAAAATGCCTCTAAATATACCAGGCTTAATATCTTTGAGTGTGTTTTTTACCTTAACTTTAGCTACTGGAATTTGGGCTTCTTGGAAAAGCAAAAAGGACCAGCAGAACAGAAACCCAACTGAAATGGCCATGGTTGGAGGCAGGAGTATAAATGTTTTCATTGGATTGTTTACTGCAACAGGTAAGTTTTCTTAAAAGACTTTTAAATAT